CCCTTAGTCAGAATTGAACCCAGACCCAGCAGTGGGCAGGCCAAGGCATTATCCACTGAGCAAAACCAGCTAGGGCAGGATATGACATTTCTTAGCCCTCCAGCAGCAGACCTTCCTTTTTTTCTCCAGGAGTGTGGTAAAAAACCCTAGATCACCTTATTGGATTCTTATTACCCAAGTTACTAAGAATATTACCAGTGGCATACAGGGAGCTTAGCCAATGAGCAGTCAGAAAAGGTGTTTCCTCTGTAGTTCACAACAATTGTCTTCTCGGCCCCTGCCAAAGCCTAACGCCTCTGGCAGAATCATTAGGCCTGGGCAGGGGACCCCCAGCTCCCGCAATCATTGGCTCCACCCCTGCTCCCCGTGATTGCTGGCTCTGCCTCTGCTCCCCGTGATTGCCGGCTCCTTCCCTGCCCTGGCCTAATGCCTCTGACCAAAGCATTAGGCCTGGGCAGGGGACGCCCAGCTCTCTGCAATAGCCAGCTCTGCCCCTGCCCAGGCCTAACGCCTGTGGCCGAGTTGTTAGGCCTGGGCAGGGGACCTCCAGCCCCCCATCATCACTGGCTCTGCCCCTGCTCCCCACCATTGCTGGCTCCCTCCCTGCTCCCCGCCATCACTGGCTTCCTCCCTCCTCCCCACCATCACTGGCTCCCTCCCTGCTTCCCACCATCACTGGCTCCACCCCTGCTCCCCGCCATGACCGGCTCACTCCTCGCTCAGCGCCATCGCCAGCTCCGCCACTTCCCAGGCCAAATGCCTCTGACCGAGGTGTTAGGCCTGGGCCGGGGACCCCTAGCTCACCGCGATTGCCAGCTCTACCCCTGCCCAGGCCTAACGCCTGTGGCCGAGTTGTTAGGCCTGGGCAGGGGACCTCCAGCTCCCCACCATCACCGGCTACCTCCCTGTTCCCCGCCATCCCCGGATCCACCCCTGCCCAGGCCTAATGTCTCTGACTGAGGCGTTAGGCCTGGGTAGGGGACCCCCAGCTACCTGCCATCGCTGGCTCCACCCCTGCCCAGGCCTAACGCCTGTGGCTGAGACCTTAGACCTGGGCAGGGGACCCCTAGCTCCTGCAATTTCTGGCTCCACCCCTGCTCCCCGCCATCGCTGGCTCCCTCCCTGCTCCCCACCATCGCTGAATCTGCCCCTGCTCCCCGCGATTGCCAGCTCTGCCTATGCCCAGGCCTAACTCCTCAAGGCATTAGGCCTGGGCAGGGGACCTCTCAGCTCTGATTGCAGGCTCCTATCTCCTCTGGGTGCAAATTAACCGTCATCTTTGTTTGGTTAATTTGCATACTCATCTGATTGGCTGGTGGGTGTAGCAAAGGTACAATCAATTTGCATGTTTGTCTATTATTAGGTAAGATAAGATTGTTGAGGATTTTAGCATTTATGTTCATCAAGGATTTGACCTGTCATTTTTGTTTCTGTACTTATTTTGCTTTGGTATGAATGTAGGGGTCACCTCAATAAACGAGTTTGGAAGTTAACCCTGTTTTGCAATTCTTGGAAGTGTTTGAGAAGAACTGATTGAGAAGATGCTGTTTTTTTCTTTGAAATTTGGATAGAAATCACCCTTGAATACATGTGGCATGCACTTTCCTTTGCTGAGAGGCTTTAGTTATTACTTCAATTATTTTTTAAAAATGTATACCCATCTGCAAAGTCAGGAACAAATTTCTAATTGAAGCAACAAATAAGAGGATTGATAAACACAATGGTTGAACTTCACAGCAAGTGGGCAGCACTTGCACATACGTGGAGCTAAGCAGTGAAAGCCTAACTGGCATCCTAGTTCTGCCTCCCACAGGTAGATCTGAGCAACATGAACTCACAGGGGAGCACCTCAAAGTCCCCACCCAGGGAAAGGATGGCCTCTATAAACTGAAACCCTGGGCTGCTCTCTGCTGGCTCTGTGGAGGGCAAGACCAGCTCCTGCCTGAGAATCAGCAGTCAAACACATGTCTGCTTTCAACTTTGAAGAAGAAAGGGATTTTTTTTTTGAAGAATCATACAAAGTTAATCCACTGAAGATTTCTGTGCATGGAGAGAAAACAATGGAAAAAGGGAAAAGTCTTCTCACCACATTTAACAATTCCTCCTGTGGGAGGCTACACTCCACCATCAGGACACCTCACAGGACTAAGGGACAGTGCATTTGGGTCAGTGTGAAAATTGCAGTTGTTTGTAGGCCACATATTTATTTCATGTGCCACCCAAGAAAATGAAATAAAACTACGCTATTTTGTATAGAATTCATAAAGTGTGTTGTCCTGAAAATGCACCCTCTTTCCCTCCAACACCAGGAACACAAGGAACGGGTCCCAGCTGATGCTCCCTGAAATCCACCATGGATTTGGCTGAAGACACAACTGTGAACAACTCCCAGACCACGGCTGGGCTCAGCAGTGATACTAAAGCAGGACCATTGTTGGGAGACTCGGGCATCATCTGAAGGAAAGTTCTGGCTGAAGACAACTCAACAGACTTGGTGGCCATCCTGGAATGCAGGGAGGTTCACACAAGTTCCACATTTCATTGTCACAGAGTATTTGTGTGCTGACGGTTTCCCCAGGCTCATCAACCCCTCTGCATTTGTCTTCCTCCAAATGAAAAATGCCTCCTGTGGTGAATGTGAGCAAGTCCCTACTAATTTAATAAAACTGTTATAATACAAAGCCATCAGTGGTAGTCACAGGACCGTAGGTTTAGAGAGAATCTGG